GCATGTACATCTTCAATGCTAGTTCTCACCATGCACAGCAACATCATCATCCAAAATCTACACGCAAGGTGCAAAATTATAATATGAGTACCACCGACCCCATGTACTCAATAAGTAACAAACCTAACCTTAGGTTGAAAGTAGTGACGAGCTTGTACCAAGGTCAGAGTCCACACCAATATCCAGTAACATCTCATAATAGTAAAATTAAGTCCACACAAAGAATAACTCAATAATAAAATGCTCAGCTCGTTCACAGTTCCGGAAAAATAAATATTTTCTTTTCAAGTATAATAGTAAAACTCAATTCTTTTCACTGAATTCACCAAAATATGAGTAAGTCTGAAAACTGTGATTTTTTCCAAAAACATTCTTCCACAATAGGAAATTTTATTTTTCAAATGGTATGAGGAAAGTATATCTATATGCCTACATATCAATGTGTATGCCAATGCAATACAACATAGTGATAAAACCATATGCATACTCTCAGAGTATCAATTCACTCCTAGTCACTCAGTCCTCCCAATCACTCAATCCTCACAGTCACCCATGCCTCACGGTCACTTAATCCTCCCAAATCACTCGACACTTGCACTTAGTAGGTACCTGCGCTCACTGGGGGTGTGTACAGACTCCGAATGGGCTCCTTCAGCCCAAGCACTATAATCTGCACGGATAACTCACGTGCTATAGTATCAAAATCAGTATCCGCACGGACAACTCACGTGCTATAATAAGCCAATCTGGCCTGTTGCGGCGTGCAACTCAATCCCATAATAATAAGGTATATAAAGCCAATATGGCCTGCTGTGGCGTGCAGCCCGATCCCATAATTTTCCTCATAATCAGGCCCTCGGCCTCACTTAGTCATCAATCTCTCCAGTCTCTCGGGCTCACAATGTCATGAAACTAGCCCAAAATGATGATATGATGAATCAATAAATAGCAACAGAGTCTGAGAGATGATATAAAATGAATGAACATGACTGAGTATGAATTTACAATTTAAACAAATAAATCGACAGTAGAAATGACCTATGTGGGTCCCAATAATACCAACATTTGCCTCAGCATGATTTTTAATATGATTTTCAGTTCAATTTCTTTAACACATAAAACTACACAGAGAATGCCAAGATTTATTTGACTACAAAATTTCACGGAAACAATTACGTCACAATTTCTATGGTGCTCGCCCGTCACCTAGCATGTGCGTTACCTTCAAACAATTCACATAATACGTATATTCAGGGTTCATATCTTCAACCCAAAGATTTGAAGAGTTACTTACCTCGAACAAGACGAATCCAATGCCGAGCAAGCTAAACAATGCTCCAACTTCTGAACGGTTCGAATCTAGCCACAATAAATTTGATTCAGTCCACACAATTTATAAAAATTAATTCCATATAAAAATACTAATATTTTCCCACAAAATCCAAAATTGCACTCTAAATATAGCCCGTGGGGCCCACGTCTCGGAATCCAACGAAACTCATAAAATCCGATAACCCATCCAATTACAAGTTCAACCATACTAATTTCACTCAATTCCGACTCCCAATTGATGTTCAAAACTCAAAAAATTATTTTATGAAATTATAGGTATTTCCTTCGATTTCTCTTGACAATTCGATAATCATACACCAAAAATAAAGATTAATTCATGAAATATAATCACAAGGGAGTCAAGAACACTTACCCAAGTTTTGTGAAACAATCCTCTCCAAAATTACCCAAACCGAGCTCCAAAATCTGAAAATGAGTGAAAATATCGAACCACCGAACTTAAAGGGTTCTGCCTAGGCTTTTCGCACCTGCGAAGTCTGGGCTCGCATCTGCGCACCCGCTTCTGCAGAAATATGTCGCACCTGCGCTGCCCGGCCTCCTCACCATTTTTCGCATCTGCGAATCCCTGCCCGTATCTGCCCAATCGCAAGTGCGAAAATCCCATCGCAAATGCGACCTCTACTGACACCCTCCAACTTCGCACCTGCGGCCAAGCCCCTCGCAGGTGCGATCACACCAGAAGGGCTACAGCTTCAGCAACCTTACAAGTCCAATCTTTCTGATCCGTTAATCATCCGGAACTCGTCTGAGGCCCCCGGGACCTCAACCAAATACACCAACAAGTTCTAAAACATACCACGGACCTACTCGAGGCCGCAAATCACATCAAACAACATCAAAACGACGAATAATATCCCAATTCAAAATCTATGAACTTTGAACTTTCAAATTCTATATCTTGTGCCGAAACACATCGAATCAATCCGGAATGACTTCAAATTTTGCACACAAGTCATAAATGACATAACGAAGCTATTCCCAATTCCAGAATTGGATTACGACCCCGATATCAAAAGGTCAACCTCTTGGTCAAACTTTTCAAAAAATCAACTTTCGCCATTTTAAGTCTAATTCCACTACGGACCTCCAAATAATTTTTCGGACAAGCTCCTAAGTCCATAATCGCCATACGGAGCTACTGGAATCATCAGAATATGAATCTGAGGTCGTTTATACATAGATCAACATCGGATTGACTTTTCCAACTTATGCTTTCCATTTAAGAGACCAAGTGTCTCATTTCACTCTAAATTCTCTCCGGACCCGAACTAACTAACCCGATAAGTCATACAACAACTATAAAGTACAAGCGGAGCAGTAAATGGGGGAACGAGGCTGTAATACTCAAAACGACCGGTCGGATCGTTACAAATTCGCCGGTGGGAACACCGATAATATCGACGATGAGAAAAATCAATTATGAAGTCAAATAGCGAACATAACTTCTTTCCATGTACTATTGTTTATCGAAATTTGTTTGGATTTGATCGGGAATAAAGGGAGAGGAAGAAGATACGAAGAAGAAGAGAATGAGGGATATGGGTCGGCTAGTGGATTAAATCAGGGGTGGTTTTAATTGGATCGGGTATTTTTAAATGGGGGTTGGACTTTTTATTCTTGAGCTGCCACGCGTCCCTCCCTTAAAATTAAGGGCACTTTTGAACTAAGTAGTATAACGGTAGGGGTTCAAATACCCTAATAGTATAACGAATGGTAAATTTAAACAATTTTCGATACTAGAGGGATATATTTGGCCTTTCTCCGAAAAAAGTATGGGTGTGGGTAAGTAGGGGTAATTAGTTTTAATTGGGTAGGTATATATTGTAAATAGTTTTCAAATAGGTAGGAAAGGATAATTATTTTAAGCTCCACTTGTGTTTTGCATAACTTGCTCAAGTTTAATTACCTCAGAAGTAAAATTTAAACTTCAGGTTTGAGGATTTCAATCGCATGCCTAAAGTTTCAAACTTTTAATTGTCGGGCGTGTAATTAACCGCCAAAGCCTAGCTCCTAGCTTTAAGTCTTATGTCATAAGATTTCAGGCGAAAGTTAGTTCTAGTAGAACCTCATGGAGATTGGAATCTAAAGTTGACTTTGGCAATTCAATTTTTTTTAGGAATGAAATAGGCTATAATAGTTCAAAACTTCAGACGAAGCACTGCCAATAAGAAGTAAGGCCGTGCATAATTCGGTAAATATCGAATTATCGCATCGAAATCGAAAATTTTGAGAATTGGTATGGTATTTGATTTAAGTTTTAAAAAAATTGGTATTAGACAGGGGCGAATGTAATATTCTGCCGGCGAGTTCACTTGAACCCATAACTTTCGACGCGGAGTAAAAATTTATATGTAAAAATTCATTATAATTGCAAAAATAGTAGATATGAACCCATAACTTTAAAAATATAATGGGTTCAATGCTAAAAACTTTAAAATTTGAACTCATAGGGTTTAAATCTGGGATCTGCCTCTGGTATTATGTATGGTATATGATATTTAAAAAAATAATATTGAAATACTGATACCATACCGAAATATATACTTGATTACGCACATATTGTTGATAATAACGTACTAAGTTACATAATACTTTTCTTTGGCATTTATGCTGAACCTGACAATAAAACTCATATACTTCTTTATGAAAATAGAAGAACAAGTTAGGTTGCAGATTCTGATTCTTATTCTTCAGGCTGTCAAACAGGTTAACATGATATTTTTTATGATTTTAGGGTGTTTCTTACTAGTGTATTGATGTTGCATCTATTGGATTAGTCTTTGTTGTATTCTCTAAGTTCAGCAATTATCTCTAAGCAAGTGATAAGACATTTTCAATGATCAAAATTATTCCTTTATGTACCTTTTTGCTCTCTATGGGTTAATACTTGCTAATTTGGACATAGATTTTGTCAATGTTCATGTGAGCTTAGAACGTTTTTATTTTTGTATTTGTGAGTACTTTAATTAATAATATTATAGTTTATGACTCGACGCACTAGTTAATATTCAAGTTGAACAAATCAAAATTACCGTACTGAATAAACCGAAATCGAAAGGAGAAAAACTCAAAACCATACCGAATTTAATTAGGTACGATCTTGGTATAGCGTTTTAAGAAATCGAATACCGAAAATACCGAATCGAAATATCTAAATACCATACCGTACCAACCGACGAACACCCTTAATAGGAAGGGTCTACCGTTGTCAAATATAACTAAACCTTAGCTAGTTACTAAAACCTGCTATAATTTAAATTTTCGCTTTGAAAATAATTACCTTAGAAATTGCACAAATTTAGGACCTATTTAGACATAGATTGACTACTTTTTTTTCAATATTTTTTTGAAAAAATTATTATTCATAGAATTTGATCCGTTTTTGAAAAAAAAATTAAAATTAATTTTCAAGTTCCCAAAAATCAGTTTAGTATAGTTTTTGAATGGATTTTTTTTTCTTCCCCTCATAGTTAATCAATTTTTTCAAATAAAATACATGTCCAAATATAACTTAAACTTTAACAACTATTTTTAACACAATTTCAATTTTTTTTTTATTTTTATGTTTTAACCAAATATATGTCCAAACCTAGCTAAATCAGCTCATTTTCTTAATATGCACCTGATGTGGTACGATAAAAAATTATTTAGGCACTATTAAATTCCCTCCGTGCAGAAAACCGATTCTTATATAAGCTTTCAAGTTCCAATAAAATACAATCGAATCACTCTTTGAGTATACGATTACAATTTTTCTCTATGTAGCATCAGCATTTTCTGTCTTAACGCACGCAAAAACCTAGGGTTAGGGTTTTATAAAAGTTCAGTTTCCATGGCGGAGGACGACGAAAAGAACGTAAATAAACCCTTGCTGGAGGATAACGTTAACGAACAACCCCTAATTGATAAGAAATCATTGAAAAAATGCGATTCCGTTACGGAATTCAATGCCGTTAACAATGCGGTTACAGACGAAAATGATGAAAAAGCTGTTGTGTTGGGTTCGGTGGTGACGGAGGTGGTTATGTCGTTTGTGGAATCGAAAGTGGAGGCGGAAGCAGAAAATGTTACTGCTGGGGCAGAGTCTGTAGTTTTGAGTAAAACCGAGGGCAATGATGAAGCCGTCGCAGAGGAAAATGTTTCAGTTGATGAATCGAAAATAGAGTTAAAGAAAGACGAGTTGCTGAAGTTGATGAAGCACAAAGTAGGCAGTTGTGAGCGTAGTTGTACGACCGGAAATGAAGAAAGTGGTGGAGCAGTGACAGAGGGAGATGTTTCAATTGCTGAGGTGGCAAAAGATGGGACTATGGAGCAGATTTTTCGCAAAGAAACAGAACCTTCTGTTTTAGATGATTCACAGGTTCTTCATGAAGCAATGGGTGCTGAGGTGGAGAATGAAACTGATGCTGATACTGAGTTGAAGCACGAATTAGACAATTCTCAGAGCGTTGGTGCTAATACTGTGGCAAGAGTTGCAACCAGAAATGAAGAGAATGGTGAGGCAGTGAGACAGGGAGTTTTTTCTACTGCGGAAGCTACAATAGAGGTGACACTAGATGGGGCAGATTTAAAGAAGCGTGAAGAAGTACAATGTAGGTTTGAAGGAGTGGATGTTGAGGGGGAGACTTCTACTATTGATAATGATGCTGACAAATTGATTTTGAATAAAGTTGAGGAGAATGATGAGATGGTTGTAGAGACAGATGTATCAACAATTGAAGCTAAAGCTGTGGAAATGGATGTAACAAAGCATGAAGAAGTGGAACATGTTTCGACGTTAGATGATTCTCAGGGTGCCCTTGTAGGCGAGGAAGATGAAGCAATAGGTGTTGAGGAAGAGACTACTAATGTGGATACTGAAGTGGAGACTGAAACTGATACAGTCGAGTCAGGGGAATCCTTGGGAGGAAAGAGGAAGAGGAGGGATTCTAAGAGTCCTGGAAATTCAAAGGCTGCAGCTAGAGCTTCAAGTAGGAAGATTACAGAAGAGGACGTTTGCTTCGTTTGCTTTGACGGCGGGGATTTGGTGCTATGTGACCATAGGTGAGTTTGCTTACCTATGAAATTTTATCCATGTTAAGTAGTACTTTCTGTGTTTCAAGTTATGTGACATAGTTTGACTCGGCATGGAGTTTAACAAAGAAAGGAAGACCTTTGAAATTTGTGGTCTTAAACATGCCATAACATTTTGCGTCTTTCTTTTTTGGCAATAGTGTCATATAAGTTGGACCAAAGGGATTAATAATTTTGCTTTGCATTCTCTGTTTTGTGGATTTGCTCATGTGTTGCTTTTTTATGTGGTCTTTAATTTATAGGGGTTGTCCTAAAGCATATCATCCCTGTTGCGTTAATCGGGATGAAGCATTTTTCCGTGCCAAAGGTCGATGGAATTGTGGTAAGTGCATATATGTACGTCTTTTTCCTCATAAGACTTCATTTAGTGGATAAAATTTATGTATCGCCGATTTACTCATGCTAGTTCGTTTTCTTTCAGACTTTTTAAAGTTGGAATACACACTGATATCTTCCACTTTTTGAATTCCTTCAAGAGTCTCCTTAGACTTAAAGCTGTAGAGTAGTGAAATTCATCATCTGAAATAACTACTACATATTTGTGGGATCCTGAGGAAAAGGATATCATTTCCGCCGAGCTAGAACAATGTCAATTCTCTAGTAAATCAAAGTCATCATTTAATAGCAGTTTGCTTCAATTTCTTCTTTACAAATAACAAATTGAAGATTTAGTACTGTTAGTTTACAGATATGTATAGTGTAGTCTTGTCCCACATTGGAAGAGGAGTAATATCTCCTTGTAGTGTATAGCTATAAATAGGGATCTCTTGTATTGTATTTATCATCCAATATCAATAACATATTTTCTCCCGTGCCTTCTCACATGGTATCAGAGCATTAGTGAGAAAAGATCGCTGTGCATCATTCCAGCGTTAACCGGGAAGAAAGAACTTAGTCATCGTGCAATTTTTCCGGTGACCTAAGGCTTGTCTAAGTGAAAGTCACTTTCTGTCAATGTTGTGCTAAAACCAATACCACCACGAGGTAGATCACCCTCCGACGATCAACCCCTAAAATTTTATCCAGCAGAAAAACCTCCACACTCCTCCACGCGCCGGCAACAACTTTTCCGGCGAGGCTTCCGGCCACTTTCCGGCCATTTTTTCGCGAAGTTTCTTCAGGACAGTGTGCTCTCCTCAAAATTCCGAGCTTACCCATCTAATTCAAATCAAATTCCGACCATTTTTATATTTTTCCGGCGTGAACAGTGACCTTTCCGGCAATATTCCGGTGTGAACAGTGACCTCACAGTGACTAGACCTGACATTTCTTTTCCGGTGAGTGTTGTAAGTCAGTTTATGGATT